CCTGGTACCCTCAGAGGCTAGAAGAGGAAGTCAAATCCCCTGGAACTGGAGTTATAGGCAGTTGTGAACCACCATGTGTGTGCTGAGAATTGAATCCAGGTCCCTTGGAAGAGCAACAAGTGCTCTTACCCACTAAGCCATCTCTCCAGCCCTAAATTTGTGATAATTCATTATAACAGCCATAAAGACTAACACTGTGCTGCTGTATTTCAAGTTGCCCAAATCTGTCAAATTGAGAAATGCTACTTTGTCCCCTGAAGTGGCTGTTGTGAGGACAAAATGATGGAAAGAACCCAAGACTGTTCGGCAAAATTTCAAATCATGAAACTCTATGTACTCCAACAGGAAAAATAGTCAATCTGGTTTGAAACAATGAAATTGAAGCAATTAAGAATTTAGAGCTCAGGCTGGAGAGATAGCTCAGCTGTTAAAGTCTAGGTTTACAACCCAAACTGTAACAACTTGAGCTCATGATATGCCCCAGGAAAAAGACTAAGGGGCTGCAGGCCTGCCTCTTCTCCCCTAGAGAAATAGCACAGCATGAGAGGATTTGAAAGACCAAAGGGCCATTCTGCTTCCTATGTTATGATACCCCTCTGAGCATCAAGAAAATGGGAAAAAAAAATTACACCGCTCTGATAAGGTGATAAGGGCTGTGTGTGACTCAAATGAAGCAGTGTTTGTGGATGTATGACAGAAACAAAACTTCCAGATGACAGGTATAGCAGTCTTCCTTGGTGTGGCTGTCCTGCTGTTGGAAGCAGGTGTCTTGACTAGACTCTGGCAAACAGATCACCCAAGGAAAGTCCTGCATGCTGGTACTACGAACACCTAGTTTCTACCCTTGGCTATGGTGTGACACCTTAGGCAAGTCCTTTTCCCTCTCTGAGTTTATCTGTAAGAAGTTAACCTTGTAGCTAGTGGCTCTCAAATGGGTGTTCGACTCACCTGGAGAGGTAAGAAGCAGATGATGGAAAGCAGGAAATTCCCCTTTGTTTGTGTTTCTCCTCCCACCATCCCCCAAAAGGCCTGAAGCAAGGAATCTTGTTTTTATTAAATCATGCAAGAAAAGCCTTAGCCACAATACGAGTTGATTTATCGAGTATATGGCCTGCAGCAGCTGAATCTCAGAACTCTGCCTTATTTGTTATACTGTAATTGGAAAATTAACTAATTTCCAGCCGGTTAACTAGCTATGTTCCTCCTGTTCTTGACAATTTCTGTTAACACCGTTTTGCTGTGATTAAAATGTCCTCCCAGTATTGCCTTTCTTATGTGAAATGAAGATGCTAAACCGGCCAAAGACCAGCAGAGTTGTCCACTTCCATTACATCATGGCCTGTGTATAAAAGTTGAAAAGATCCTTTGAGACGAAAGGTTGACAATGTGAATGACATGCTCAGCATCTCAGGGAGGAAGTTACCAAGCTGAGTCTTGACCACAGAGCTCCTGAAAAGTTCCTTCCAACTGCCACATTGTCTTTCTACTGCTTCCGTTACACAGTCTGACAGCCAAGTAATGTTCTGTCTGCTTATTCCCTAGACTCATTCTGCTATTCTTGGACATAGAGGAACTTCATTCACTTGTCAACACAGTTACAGGCCACGTGCAAAACAATGCAAGAAGCAGGACGTTATGGACTCTCAACAGATTAGATCAGACTTAGCCAAGTGTTTCTTAAATTTTTAATGTGCATAGAATTCTCTTTTGGGGTCTTGTTAAAATAGATTCATATTCCAGATGTCTAGGGTAGATCCTAAGAATCTGCCTTTCTAACAAGTCTCTAGGTAATGCTAATGCTAAAAATGATGTTTTCATTAATCCTATTTCTAAACATCTCCAGTTACATTTGGGGTTCATTTTCTTTTGAAGATTTATTTATTTATGAATTTTATGTATATGGGTGTTTTGTCTGCATGTGCTTCTTCACACCTGAAGGGGGCATTGGATCCCATGGGATACACTTATAGATGGTTATGAGCTGTCATGTGGGTGCTAGGAATTGAATTCAGGACCTCTGGAAGAGCAACCAGTACACTTAAATGCTGAGCCATCTCTCTGGCCCCGGGATTTGTGTTCACTACTATTTTGGGGCAGTGTGGTAAACAGAAAGGCATTGTAGTTTCCAATCTTGGATTTTTATCAATTTCTAGTATCTTATGGGCAAGTCATTTTCACCTCCCTGTGCCTCGAGTTTCCTTATCTATAAGACAGAATTGCCAGCTATCATATATTGATGCAATGAGGCCTGACAGAATGGCAAAGCTATGTTGCAAAGTGGAGAATAAGTCTTGGGTTCAAAAGAATTTTTTACTGAGTTCTCTTTAGATTTCTTTTTTACAAGACAGCACAAGTGGTAGATAGTGGGGACCATGATTCTGATATTCTGAAAGATTATTTCCATGATGAGACAGCAGATGGAGGACATTTATGCAAGAGAATCTGCACACTTCATTGAAAATCATGTGAATGGGCTCAGGGATCTCATTCTTTTCTCTGATTTCACACACATAGTTCATATAGGCAATTTCCCTATGAAAATGAAGGCTTTTCTTCATTGACAATATCTTGTCAAGTTATCGTGCTTCACTCTGGATTTTTTGTTGCTGTTGTTTCTAAAGCTTTTGTAGGCTTCTATTGTGTCAAGGTCAATTGTCTGCTGCTTCTTTATTAACAGCTTCACTGATCTATGTTCTCTTAAAAGCAATTATTTTATGAGTTGCCAAACTACTTCCTTTACTCTTTTGTAGTTCTTACAGAATAAAGGAACGTCTTGAAAAGGGAAAGGTGCTTCCTTATTGTAGCCATTACTTCCGAAGTACTCTTATATAACATTATTTTGCTACTTACTTGAATGCTTAGTTTTGCCCTGTGGTGGCTGGATACTCCATAACACCTCTTTTTCAACTTGAAATATAAAAATTCAATGAAATTTCTTTTATGAAATGACCCCCTGACTTTTGCTTTCACCACAGAAAAAACTTGGCACGGATATGACCCCAGGGCATCGAATTCCACAAAGGCACAGAGAACTTGCCTGCTTCTTAAAACATGCGTGGTTATCACCAGACTTCTCGATGAAATCGTCCATGTAACGGCATAGTGATGTACTGGGAAAGCACAGCAACACTTAGAAAGACCCTTTCTCTTTGGAAAATGACCAAGGCAAATAATTCCTGGCTACCAACGTCACAAGGGGAGGTTAGATGATCTTCTAAAGCATACTACCAGTTTGCATCAACTCAGAGTGAGAAGAAAAGCCACCATGGATTATCTTTCAGCCTGTGTTCTTACTCCCGTATGAAGTGGGCTTGCACTTGCTTCCCTCGCTCACCGTATTCCTTTCCATATTGGTTAGGCACACAGGAGTCAAGAGTCAACCCACCTCCAGTAATGCCCCCTCTGTTTAAATACCTAGCTCTGAATGGCACAGTGGAAACTGCACAGGGTGCAAAGCCAGAGAGGACTGGATAGAAATCACACTTCTCGTACTCACTATGTCTGTGAACTACTAAAGTCAGTAACAATGCAACTGGGTACCTTCTTGATCTGTACAAAAAGATGAGGACTTGCATGATTGTTATAAGGATGGAAGATAAGGTATTTGAAGTACCTAGTACTCAGACGGTGCTTACTGAATGTTAGCACTTCTGTTGTCACTATCATTCAAGGCTTAACAGTTCTCTCGCCTACTTGCTAGGGCTGCTGCTAATTTCCCATAGTTACCACTCACATATCACCTCTTCTGATCACCTCTTTTAGTGAGGGTCTATGCATCAAGCACACCCCAAGCCAATCTCATCTCATGACAGTATGCGTCACCCCAGCAATTTTGCTCTTTAAAGCAGATAGTAAAAGGAGATACTTTGTTTCCTTGTCTAAAGGGGGTTGATATAGAAGTAGAACTACCCCACCAATTGCTCCCTGGCCTCCAAAGTTGGTGGCCCCACCTTTCCCAGCTGAGTTTTCATCCATGTCCCACATAACACAGCAATCATGATGCAAAGTTTCTAGATACTTCTTCCACTGGGAGTGCAATGTCTTTCTCTGCCTCTCAAGAATATTCTAATATTTTTAGTGTTTACCATGGCATTTTGTCTCAGGAAAACCAGATTCAAACTGTCTTTATAATCTTTCATGGATCTGAAACCCTTCTGGCCCACTCCTGTAGCCAAGTTCTACACATATCCTTGTTTTTCCCTCATTAAGGGAGAGGATCCAGCCCTAAGAGAGGATCCAGCCCTAAAACCAGAACTCAATAAGAGCCCCGCAAGCCTCAGAGGCTGTGGCCCAGGTATCTGCACAGAAACAGAAGCACCAACACCCTAAAAAACAGGGCTCAAAAAGGTTTAGTCCTCAGATTTCATACTTCCTGCATGGCTTTTACTTTAGTGCACTTTCAATGACTCCAGCAGTAATGAAAGGACCAGCAGCTTATATCTTGAAATTTTCTACTTGCTGGTAAATATGAGAAGCTCAAGAAAGAGGATAAAAGCCAATACCTCCCAAAAGAGCCATTAAAGCCACCACCTACAAGGCCCCTTCCTAGATAAATGTGCTGTACTAAAAAGAACCTTATGTAGGAGCTCAGACACCTGGGATCTTGTCCTCTTGTGGTCACTAACTTGCTCTTCATGTAAACTAAGCTGTTGTTAGTATAAATGCGTTTGAAAGTTCCTTCTAATCCAACCCTTTATGGGCTGTAAAGAGTCTTTTATCTCAAGGGCTGTGGTTCTTAACCTTTATTGGGTTGCAGTACCATCTGAAACCCAGGAGAATGTTATGAACCATCTGCTCAGAAAAGGCATTACCCTCATGGAATTGTATATGTCATCTTGGGGGCATCATAGAGTTCCAGAATCCACAGGCACCTTGGCTAAGATCTGGTTTTGTTTGTTTGTAGCTTTGTTTGTTTGCTTGCTTTTCAGGAAATAAAAGAGCATGTAAGCTAGAAGCAAATAAGTAATAGCAACAATTCCTTGGACTCAGTCAATCTTAACAATTTTTCCTAACATTTGACCCTTTTTACAGAAACATTTTCTGTTTTATTTGTTGATTGCTGAAAAGGAAGCTATTGGGTGAAAGTAGGAAAAAGGGAAATCCAGACAGGCCTAGGCTTTGACATGCAAAACATGCTTAGCAGATTTGTTCTCAGAGGCTGGAGGCAAAAGCAGAAAGGCTACCTTCCTAAGGCCATCCTGAGGAAGGCCACTGTGTGGGAATCATTCATGCAGTCTGGCCCAAATGGATTTCATTAACATGTCATGGTACCAGGGTACCAATCTGGTACTAGTCAGTGTCCATATCTTCAGAAAGAGACATGACACAATTTCCAATATTCAGCTAACATCCCTACTCCCTTCCAAATAAGGTAAACAATGGCCCCAACTCAAGCGGCCTTTAGATCAGGGTGAGACCCCTAACATCAATCAGGCTTTAGCCCTGAATCATTCAGAGTCCAATGACCTTTGAGGAAGCAGTAAGTTCAGAGAAGAGTGGAAAACTAGGTTTCCCTCTTCAATACAGGTCAGTGGGTATTTTCACTTCAGTAGAGTTTGGAGCTTGAGAGAATCCAGCCATCCAGTATCCTAGGAGCTGCTCACAACAGACATTCTGGGGAGATGAAGACAGAATACAAAGGAGAAGCAAACACGTGTCTAAGACATGTGCTCCTTATTTATAGCTTCCCAGACACTGAAGGCACAAGGGCCAGAAATGAACTGCTCTTCAGCACCAAATAGCTCACAAGGGTTTGAAGTGGGCCCTTTCACAACCTGGAAAGGGTCCCTCAAGGCCAAGTCCTTTCAAACCTGAAATGGAAAGAAAAAAGTAGGGAGTTAGGTGGGCCTAGGTGAATATTTAACAGGTATTGAGCAGTTGGGTCTCTCTAGTTACTTACCCTATAACTGGTACCTGATCTGGAAAAGGGACTTTGTACTTCAGACCCCAAGCAACAGGCTCAAGGCTGCTATAATTAGGACTAGAGACGGTGCCTTTGACCCCACCTCCAATTCCCTAAAAAAAAAATCTATCTACAGGGGAAGCAAAATCCTGATATTAGAACTTCTGAGAGTGCCGCCCACTGTACTCCCTTGCATCTTAGCCACTGCCTTTATGGTCCTTTCAGTATCTCCAAACTTCCTTTGACCAGGCCTTCATTTCTAAGGCTGATAAGGAGTGGCTTATCTATCTCTAGGCCATGCAGGACTGGCAGTGACAGGAAAAAAAAGAAGGCTAAGGAGCACATGGCAAGCCAAATTTCAGATACTTGGGCCTCATTAATGTGCATATTGGTTCATGTCATGCCAGAGATCTGATAACCAAGCAATCAAAAGTCCTACGTGGAGAAAGACATTTCCCTGACCCCCAAGTCTCCTGTGACCTTAGCAAGTCACTTATCCCTTCTGAACTTAAGTTCCTTTGTTTGTTGAGTTAGAACACATAGTATCCTCCTTATTTCTGGCATGTGATGTGGATCAAATGAGATCATGGATATGAAAGTTCCACGCACTAAAAAAACATAAAGGACTAAAGATGATGGTTCAGATGGGAAGAACTGACAGGGTGACTTGGTATGACGCGTGGTATGACTATAGACTCTTTGGCATTTGTTATAATATCAAAAGGGAGGTCGCTGGTTTCCTTCTAGACTCAAAGGATGGCAGAGTCAGAAAGTTCTATCATCTCATTTGACAAACGGAAATTGAGACTTGGAAAAGGAAATGTGCTTGGGCAAAATATCTAGCCTGGGATTTCTACTGAATTCAGTTGCAAAGCAGTCTTAAAATAATGCAGCCAAGGGGAAACAGAGGAGAAAGAGAACTTCAAATCATACAAAACCTCACAAATGAAGTAAGATTCGGGGATATGTAATTTTAGGGTAGTGAACTCAGGCCTGGAGTAACTTCCCACCCTCTGGACTTGTATAGTATTCTAGTCTTCAAAAACCTAGATGCCATGGAAAGGGCTTATTTGAATAATGTTTTGTAATGAAGGATAGAAACAACATACCTGTGGCTTCAGCTCTCATCTCCAGGAAGTTTTCCTTGAGAACTGAGGACAAAAGAAAGATGTCAATGAAGCCCTTGAAATTAAGACTAAAAAGGCTAATGCCAAAAAAGTCACTTGATTATCAGTGGGAAATTCTTATGCTCAGATGTTTTACTGCATTTAGTTCCATTCTCCTAGGTTGAGAAGGTTCAGAGAACCCAGTATTCTAGCCACAAAGCCACCTTTTCAGGTGCTAAAACATCTTTTGAGTATTAGACTATAAGAGAGTAGATATAATAGAGAAGTTGGCCCAAGACCACAGTTTACATCCTGTGATTACCACTACTGGTGAGAAGAGCAAGAAGGCAGGGGAAGTACCATGAAAGAGATAAATCCTCCTTTGTCTTAAAAAAACCAAACCATCTCTGCTCAGCCTGTTGATCAGTCCTAAATTAGCCTTACTTACTCAGCTGAGAACTGGGGGAAGAGAGAGACAATCATAGACAATAAATCCCTCAACAATATGGCCAGAGCATCCCACCTAAGAGCTGGTTCCCACAGCTATATTCATAGCCTTCTATTTTTATCCCATCTCTTGAAACTACTTATAACAAGTGCCTAAATTATCTTATGTCTATTCATGGTTTCAATTACCACCAAATATTGGGAATCTTCTTCCAAAGTGTCACTATTCATATTACAGTATATATGTGATGCCCCAAACTAGAGTTCTATAACACAGTGGTTGTACCTAACAGTTCTATTACTAAATCTGCACAGGCACAGGCCTCACCCTGACAGTTAGTTTAAATTCCAGTTACTCACTGGGCATCTCTATCTGGATGTTTCACAGTGTCTTCACAGTGACTGTATGAAATTGAGCTCAGCAAATGTCTCACAAAACCTGTTTCTTTATGATTAATTGTTGTACCATTTACCAAATTGCCCAAGCTAGACTTATCTTTCTCAGCGCTTCCACAATGCCTTATATTTGAAAAGTCAGCAGGGTCTGATTGAACTGATCTCAGATCTGTCCTTGTATTCCATTCCCACAGCAACACCTTAGATCAGGACTTTCATCAACTCTTGCCAGCAAGATTTGTTTCCTAATTGGTCTCCTTGCTTCCAATCTTTACCACCAAAGTGATCTTTTTTACAACTCAGCCAGCTCAGAATGTGCACCACCACTTAAACATCTTCCATGACCTGCCCCCAGTAGACTACAATACAAAGAGCAAACACCTTAATATGTCATACAAGATCTTTGCAGTCTGGCTCTAATCCATTTTCCTGGTGTTATGTTCAGCTGAGCTTTCTTCTTTTCACCCCACATTATAGACAAAGTGGGACACTAATCACTTCTAAAGTTGTATTGTCTTATGAAATATTTTCTCCTCTCTTCTCTTCCTGACAAATTTCTAATAATGTTTCCTTTGAGTTTTTCTTTTTAAATGCTGAAGAGGGCAAGGGAAGGAGGAACAGATGCTATCAAAATGGCAGGATACAGTCAAGTATGCAAATGGAAAACTAAAGGAGGCAAGAAAATGGTTAAACAGCTCAGCATTATTTTTATTTGAGATGACAGAAGATGCTGGCAACCATGACCATATTAAGGTCATATAAGCCACATGACTAATAACATCTTGCTAAGTGGCCAGCATGTAAATACACTAATAGCAGTGGTGGATTTGAGGTGGGAGGAGTATTATTTCTATGCTGCTTCTGAGTAAGAAGAATCTACAGGTAGCCAAGATGGCATATTGAAGGCAGGTGTACTTTAGTCTTACCTATATTCCTTCCAAAGTGATTCTTAGGACACAGAACAGGATTAAGTCTAAGTTCTAGAAGCCCAGATAAAGAGTGGCTAGAATAGCATGGGCTGAAAGCCTTCTGGCATTGTGATTGGTCTAAGTCTTCCCTGAGCCCTGGCTCACCAATCCACTGGCAATATTACCAATCTTTCGAGGTCTTCAACCTCATTTTAGCAACAGTTTTCCTACTGAAAGTTAGCCTACACTAACAATTCTGCTAGACTTTGCTCATGCCTCTTAAATATTCCCCTCCTGATGCCTTGACAGCCTATCCTGAGAAACAGATCAACCCCCCAAATTTTCCTGTGTATTTCTATTTTATCAAGCCCCAGCTCATGTATTAACTCTTCCCAAAAGCTTTCTTTTCAACATGCCTGAATCTTTGTTTATTTCCTTCAGTTTCTCTGGTGTTTATTTCTCAAATGATTTATTTATCCTAGGGATGAAGAAAGGATGCCAGGAAGTAGTGCTACTCATAGGAGGCACCTTATTAAGAATCTCTCTCTCTCCCCCTCTGCCCTGCCCCAATCCATGGAACCCAAGGCTTCAAGCATGATGTACAAATACTATAGCACTGAGCTATAATCCCCAGATCCAAATCCAAAACCTTTTTATTTTCTTGCCTCTGGTAAAATGGATCAGGGACTTGACCTCACTTTCATCTGTTATAGTAAACTAAATGATAAGTTATTGTCTAAACAGAATTTAGCTGATCCCAGAGCTATCTGTGGCTGCCAAGCTAACTATGGTAACTTGTCATGTGGAATCACATCCTGGTGAATTAGATTCACGGTATTGGTAAGAGGATGCCAAACCTATCCTGGCCCCATTGATGGTAAAGGTGCATTGTTCTGCTTTGAACTGACCACCTAGAAGAGCTAACTCTTGTTCTTGGGTAGGAAGCACAATTTGAAAATCTCAAATTAGCCACATGGAACAAACTCACAGCAAGCACCTTGAAGACTAAGCAACCATTACTTCAAATGCTCCCAAATGCCCAGGGCTTGAACAGCTTGTACCAGCATTTGAAAAAAAATTTAAAAACAAATGGAAGGAAGGATGAACAGAAGGAAAAAAGGAGAGAGGAAATACAAGAGGGGGACAACAAAAGGAGGAATAATTGATTCTCAGGCCCCACTCAAAAGATCAATTTTAGTGAGTGTAGAATAGAAGCCAGGAATCTGGGATTATTCTTTTTTTTACAGTTTTTCCAAGAGATTTATGTGGATGGTCAGTTTGATAATCATCAAGTCAACTATTTATCTTCGAAATGGGAGCCACACTTACTCTGAATCCACAGACAATAGAATGCTATATTCTACATACCTTTGTCAGCTGACCTTATATCCCATGAAGTCTAAATAAGCAAAATAACAGCAACAAAAAGACCTTCATTGGGTGTAAGGTTTCTTTTTTTCAATATAGCTTTGGATGTGTGCTGGCTAGTTTTATATCAATTTGACACAAGCTATAGTCATCTGAGAGGAGGGAGCCTCAAATGAGAAGATGCCTCCATAAGGTCAGGCTGTAGGCAAGTCTGTAGAATTTTTTCCTAATTAGTGATTGATGGGAAGGGACCAGCACATTTTGGGTGGTGCCATTCCTGGGCTGGTGGTCCTGGGTTCTATAAGAAAGCAGGCTGAGCAAGTCAGGGAAAGCAAGCCAGTAAGCAGTACTCCTCTATGGCCTCTGCAGCAGCTCCTGCTTCCAGCTTCTTGCCCTGTTTGAGTTCCTATCCTGACTTCCTTCAATTATAGACTATGATGTGGAAGTATAATCCAAATAACCCCTTCCTTCCCAAGTTGCTTTAGTCATGGTGTTTCATCACAGCAATGGTAATCCTAACTAAGACAAGATGTGTGTACATACAATAGTGTACATGCATATGTATGTCTGTGAAGGAGAAAGAGAAACAGAAGAAAGAAATGGGAAAAATGAGTAATAAAGAGACAACGAAGACACAAGTTAAGAAAAACAAGGAGGATGGCATAAAGAGAACACAGACAGAGAAACACAAAAAGTGACAGAGAGAAGCTGAGAATGGCAGAGATACACATAAGACAGGACACAGGGGAGAAATAGAAGCCAATCTACAATAACTGCAGGAGAAAGAGGTGGGAGAGGAGAGGGGAGAGAAGGGAGAGAGGTGGAGAGAGAACAAGAACTACAGAGAAACAGAAAAGAACATGCAAAGAGCAAAAACTGCTGAGACACATTTGATGCATTTATTCAAAATTGCCTTTTGCCTCCTCTTCCGTCTCCTGCGTCTCTTACCTTCCAGTTTTCCGGGATGCTGTTTCAAAGAATCTGGTCCTGGATGCCACCCTGCAAATAGAAGCCAGAGCTACAGTAAAATACACGTGAGAACCAAGGACCAATGGAAAGGTCCTACTTTGGCTGGCAAAAAAGCCAAGGATCTGGGCAAAACTCAGAATGAGAAATGGTTCCGAAGCCATACGCATCCCAAGGCAACAATTAAGACCCTTTACTACTTATTGATCCCAAACGGTCAAAGTTTGTGGTCCACTCAGACCTGTCTTTTGAAAACTAAGTGAAAATCACCTTTGGTTTCAAAGTGTGGTTTAGGGCACTTTGTAAATATGCTGTTTTAATCAGCTGAAGTTGGGGCGGCTTTGTTCTTTCCCTAATTTTACCATTACCAGCAATAAAAGACACAAGAAAAAGGAGGATCAGGGGGCAATGTGCTAAGAAGGGTCCAGGAGGCAAGTCTGAGGAGGGTCAAGCAAAGCTGGTGCCTTAGCTCTGCTTCTTCCCTGGCTCCCCAGCTTATTGGCCAGCCACCGGAGGGCCTACTGGATGTCAGCTCAGCTCCTGTACTGAGAGAGGATCTTTAGGGGTCCCGAGTCATTTTGGAAGATTTTTTTAAATGTACCCTTTTCTTGCAAAAAAAAAAAAAAAAGAAAAGAAAAGAAAGAAAGCAATCCCCAAGCACAAGTACAATGACAAAAAAATGTGCACACTAAATTACTTTAAAACCAGTAGCAATAACACAAGATAAAGAAAAGATTTCTAGAGCAAAAAACTGAAAGTAATTTTTCTACTTTACAGACATCAGGGCAGTTAAGAAAAAGAATGAGTCTTTATATAAGACTTTGAAAAAGTCTTCATCTCTAGTGAAATAGCTCAGCTTTGGGGCTTGAATGGAATACTTCACACAGGGATGGCAGTGGATAGTCTCCTAGATTATGAAGAAAATGATGTTCCAGAGTTGTGTGCTGTATACACTTAGCAACCAGAGATGGAGACCCTGAAGGCACCTCTAGTGGCCAGCACAGGCCTTAGGTCAAGTTGAGAGAAAATGTTACTTACACAGATGATGGGATTTCCCCTGCATTGCCAGCCACAGTATCTGGCTTTGGTTCTGGCTTTTGTGAAGTACTGGCCCGACAAGGAGGGTCTGGGGGCCTCACTGGAGGACGGATGATTGTTTGCTTTTCTCCTGGGGGCCGAACTTTGCTGAAACAGTCAGTATCTCCTAAAAGAGAAGACAACACTAAGGACCTGAATAGTCAGCCAAATAGAACACTAAGCATCAGTAGGTAACCTGGGGTTGGCTGGGCCATGTTCTCTGGTCCCTATTTCTTCTTGGCTAACAACGACTCTTTATTTTTGTTTTAAAATTCTTCTGGCTGCTGTCCCTTAGAAAGCCTACATTTAAACCTGGACTGTACAACTTCATGTACCTTACATTTGTTATGACTTTCCTAATTCTACATTTCCTTGGCTTTGTAATTCAGAGCAGCAACACACCAGTTTACAGAAATTGGAAGCATTAAGTTAGGAAATAGTATGTTTACTACAGTGCCAGTCACATAGTAGGTGATTGATGAGAAACTTGAATTTGATAAATTCATAACCACTAAAATTCAGATCCTGAGATTGGAGAAATGACTTAGCAATTGAAAGCACCTACTGCTCTTGCAAAGGACCCAAGTTGGGTTCCCAGCACCCCTGTCAGGAGGCTTATAAGAACCTGTAACTCCAGATCCAGGCGATCCAACATTCTCTGCTGGACTCTGTGGGCTGCTGTACTCATATGCACATCTATGTACATATAATTAAAACTAAAATAAATCTCAAAAAGTCCTATTCAGTACTAAAGTACTCTCGTAACTCACCTTCCTACCTCCACATTTCTGGCTTACAGATTAATCATAAGAAATAAACATATAGATTTTATGAAATGGTACTGGCAAGATTATGGCAAAACAGATGGACTCACATATTGCTGGTGGCATGATAAACTGAACTTATTCTATCTAGATACCTATCAAGCATTCTGGAACAATCTGGATGAAACACATCCATGCATAGGCAATAATTCATACTTGTTTATCCAGTATTTCTACTTTGAAAAAAAAGCTCAAGGAAATTCATCCAAGATAAAAAAATAAGAAGAATCAATTGGCACAAAACATATTTTAGTCGCAAAACATCAGACATAACTACAAAGGCTCAACAAACAATTTATTCTTACAAGCAATTAACCAATAGATATCACATATAAACTGACAAGAATTTGGACAAGGTCAAGACAAAATATGTATCTGAAATAAAGTAAAAATGAATCCATAAAGGTGGGCATGGTAGCTCACATCTGTAATTCCAGCGCTGGGGCTGGGGAGTCTAAAGCAGCAGGATTGACATTAGTCCAAGGCCACCTTGGTCTACATAGTGAGTTCTGGGCCAGCCTAAGCTACAGAGTGAGACTCTGTCTCAACAAATAAAGGAAACAAAACTCTGCACAAAAAGTACTTGTGTCTCAATGAAGACAATATTAATATAGCCATATGTGTAACAATGCAAGTACATCAGATCTTGATATTTGCTTAATGCTAGGAGATCTTGATTTTCATCCTTTCTTCAAGATGTTTAAAGTAAAGACATTAAATTCCATCTGTATAATACTGCTTGCTATAGGATTTACTTAAGCTTACACAGTTTTATTTTTCTTCAAGTCCTTCTTAGTAGCTCTAAAATGCAAAGGATAAAGTTCAAACTCTTAAACATAAGTTCAAGATCTCCTTTAAGCTAGCTCCAAATCATTGGACATTGTCTACCAAGTCTACTCTACTGGTCTACTCAAACTGGTCTCTTCACCACCCCATCAAAACAAGTGTTAATTTTAGATCATATAGTATGCTATAGGAGAAAGTACAGAGGGTCTAGAATTGTGAAGACCTGGATGTGTGGCTTTATTCTGCTACTTCCAAGCAGTGAGAACCTGGAAAGTGATTTAATATCTACCATTTTCTCATTTGGGAAATGAGTTTATAACAATGTCATTTCACAAGATGATTATAAGAATTAAATTAGATGATATAGCATCCAAAACAAGTAGGGGTAAGTAAGCATTAGACCATTTTGCTTCTTTCCTTCTATGGACTCCTGAGCTCACATCATAAGTACTATATCCATTCATAAGAGTGGGTAGGAGTAGGTAAATACAACACTAAGGATGTTTAAAAAGGCCATATGGAGACCTATCATTTTATACGATTCCTAAATACATAAAATAATTTAATTGGAGTTTTCATACACAGGGAACAAAGTTCCTTCCAGAAGCCATAGATTACCAAATAAAAAGCATGGTGCCGGGTGTGAGATATCTCCCCTCAATTTGTTGGTCAGAAGCGTCGTTGAGACCCCAGAACAATATAGTCTATTGCAATTGCTCTTGGCTGTCCACCAAAACATAATGATAAGACCCTATTGCTGAAGATACCACATACTTTGGACATAGAATGTGGAGAAATCAAGTTAGTACTTGACCAGGAAGCCTTCTTTCTGATGGCTAGCTTTCATAATACTGCTGGGGGGGGGCAGAGTTACCAGCAGTCATACCTAGTTGTGAATCCTATATGGTAAAATAACAACTGGCCTGAAAAGATATGCTCGTAGGTTAAATAATGGCATGAATGTTATAGGGGTAACCAACTACTTTCTGATTGGATTTAGGGTTTCCACAGGAGGAAGAACATGCCTAGTACTGTAAGCATGGTCTCAAATCCATGGTAGCAGAGTTCATTAGGTCACTAGGTCAAGGGGTAAAACCTACTACTATCATTTTGCTAAATAGACATAGAATTAAACTGCCCTCTAATCTGTTTCTCTATATACACAGATTAATGTAGCTTTCAGATATCATCAGAGTAGTTTATTTGTTCAATGGATAACATTTAACATGGAAACTCACAACTAATCAAAGTGCAGAGAATAGGTGCCAGTGGTTTCACCTTTCTTCTCCCCAAGGCTCAGGAATCATCGCAGAAGAAAGACTGGAAAGATTATAAGAGCAATGCAGTGTCTTCTGGACATTGCAAGACTGTTTCAGTCATAAGCCCACAGCAGCTGTGGTTTTGTGCACAAGACCTGCATAAGATCAAGCTAGTCAACATTCCAGGATGGAGATGGGAGGGGCATGTAAGCCCACACCTAGGTGAGGAGCTACTGACAGCTGAGAGCTGCTAGGGAAGGGAGAGTCAGTTTTCTTTGCACTATGGCTCTTGGTAGAGCAAACACATTCTAGTGGATGGCTCCCATACTCAGGAGTATGTGGGCTGCACAAATCAGACTCAGTAGGTTTTATAAAAACAAAAAAGAGGAAACAAATTTGAAACGGGTGAGAGGATGGAGGGATCTGGGAGGAGTTATGGGAGGAGGAGGTAAATGTTATAAAAAATATTGCATGCAAGTATGAAATTTGCAAAAAAATTAATAAAAATACTATAATTATGTTTTACAAGACCCAGCTCAAATCTGAGCTACATATTAAAATAAATCATCCACTGAGAAATCTCAGGGGAAAAGGCAGGATTCTGATAGTACAGTATAAGTAGTACACTAGTAGAGGAATGAGTAAAACATTGTTCCTGTTTACAGGTAGAATTTCTATCTCCACATCTAGGCTCTAGCTTACATTTATGGACAGGGTGATTTTGTACAATTGCATTAGAAAAAAATAATCAAAGTAATAATAATTGATTTTTTCCCTAACAAATTGATACTGTTTGGAACATTCTCCCAGATGATGTTCATAGCAAGCTGAGAAGGAAAGAATAGAGACTTCATGCCATTTCTATTTTACAGAGAAGGAAACTGAGGCTCAGAATGGTAAAACCACTTCCCCATTACATGTATGCTTAGATTGTGATAAAGTAATGATTGAAATTCTTATCTTCTGTTTTCATATTCACTTTTCCCCCGGTGTCTGCTATGTTGTTATTAGTAGTAGTAATACAAAATTGCAAATGATAACAGTAAAAAAAAACAAGTAAAAAATATTTCCTATTTATTTGTATTGACTGATTTTGAAATACAGGGATTAATCCTAGGGTCTCACACAGTTCCAGTTCTGGCTACTTTTATTATGAAACACCAGTTCTTTTTCAAGTATTGTAACACTGCGCTTAATGCTTTTTACACAGTTTTCATAGTTAAGATTGGCCATCATTCGGCACAGATGGTACACCTTTTCTGCTATTGAGGAAGACACTCCAAAATGAAAAGGAACCTCAGCATTTACCACGAACAGATCCATGTGCATGTGATTTCTGAAACCTATGTTGTTTCAGGTCCCAGTGGTGCAGTGGATTTCAACCCTGGCTACACATTAGAACGTGTGAAGACCTTTAAATATACAGTAACCAGATCCCATCCTCGGCATTCCTAGTTTGACTGGAGTAGGACTTGCTCATGAGTGTTTCCTAGGTACATGTGATGATGGGCAGTGTGAGCTGTAAAGTTATAAGCCACACAACACTGCTTCCTCATTGCAGGTCACAGATGACCAGTGATGACAGTGATATCCCACTTCTACTGGTTACTGGAGCAGGGAGTCTGCTAGGAAAGATACTACACTTTTTGAGCCAGAAAATGTTCCTACCTGAAGTCATGCCTATCCTAGGGCTCATTTCTCTTGATGAGTACAGTAGATAGCATCCTCAAAACAGCACCCTCATTCATTACCTTTACAGCCACATCCAAATGGACATCTAACTAGGGCCTGGAAAGTAAGCACCATTAACTGTTTGTCTGATTAGGCCCTTTTTATACGCAACTCCAACTTGATGATTCATTACAAGTCATGCTTTGAAGTAGCAGCAAAGAGTTTTCTTGGCTGAAAGACCCGGTGTTGTTCTTTCTTGCCTCTAATTTGTCTCAGTCACAGTTAAGCCACAGTGTCAAATTGGCAAGGCACAGAAAGAAGTCATATAACTAGAAGTCAAGAAACCTGGGTTCTCATCTTAGTACTAAAACTAGCTTGTGTAAGTCAGCAGTTCATTTCTCTGCCAGTACAATATGAATATTGGACTGTTTTGCAGATGAATCAGCAGATGGTATCAGTCTGTAAACCTTTACCTCTCTCTGCTGACTTTTGTATGCTGCTTTGGAAATACCATGGAAGCCTCAATTTCTTTATCAGTCTCCCCCTTCCTTTCTTCCACCTTCCTGTTACCTCTCAAGAAATCGATT